TATATATATATATATATATATATATAGTGATGAGAGCGATTTCAGGACTTTCTTTTTCTATACTGTTTTTTTTTATTATTATCCGAATGCGTCACCAAGAAAAAATCGCTAAAATACTGATCTTGCTTCTACTTGTTATAGTGTTATAAGGTCCACAGCTTGAAATTTATTGTGTTGTTAATATCAAAAATTACAACTTCACAGCAAAATTATTTCGGAAAAAAAAAAGTATCATTATTACGTCAGGTGTAAAGCAGTTTTGTTTGTTTGAATCCTACTAATTTTTTACATTTTATAATTAGGTTATGCTGGCGAAAGCTTCGTTAAATTTCATAGGATAAATAAAAAATGTATACTTATTGCTGTCGAGGTTTGTATTTGTCTTCACTTGATAACAATAATAATGCTAAAACGATTTTAATAACTAAAATTAGATTTGACATTAAGAGTAAAAAATCTCTAGTTTTAAAGCTTTACCAAACTGTTCCATCTTAAATGTTTATTTATTTGTTTCAGTGATGGTGACGTGTTCCCCAAATCCGTGTGAAAATGGAGCTTCTTACGTGCTCAACGTGCGCGGAGAAGCCCACTGCAAGTGAGTTTTTTTCTTTAATTACAGTTTTCCGAATGTAAAAAGAGATTTTCTAACATCTTTTATTTTTCACACAAAAATACAATGCATTGGTGTAAAAACTTAATGACCTTAACATTGTTTCGATTTGTTAGTATTAACGCAGTTTATTTTGTTTTCTGAGTCACGAAACTGTTGCGCTATGATTTCACGTGTACGTAGTGGTTTGTACTCAGTTTCCAAACAATGACACTGAACTTGGGTGTAACGCTGAAGGACAGCGTACTCTTTGTAATAAGGTCAACAATAGCTCTCCGTTTGAAATGTTAACACCAAGTTACTGGTAGAATTGAAAATTACAATTTAACCATATTTGCTTGACTCAACTAATGGTTTTGGGCATTCACAGCAAAGACAGTCAGTTTAATGGTAAGATCAAAATGGTATAATAGATATTAAAGATTTGATATATATAGAGATATGAAGTAAAAAAAAATACGATCGTTCTTTCAGTGCCTAGGCGTTTTTGTTGTTTTTTTTTTTAGATACTAGCGAAGGATAAAGTATGGGTTTCTTATAACATTCAGCATTTCCTTTACATTATTTTAATATTTAAAACTGTTGTGCTATATGATGTGTATGGCGTAAAGTTAGATTGTTTGTAATGTGATATATCAACGGATCAGAAAACACAGTGCGTTGATCACTTTTTAAACTCCTCAAATATGTGTCAACACGTGTCATTTTCTACTATGAAACAACAGCTGGATCAACGAAGATTCCGTTGGATGTGGGCCACGTGACTTTTGTTTAAAAATTACGATGTCTTGCATTTTGAATTTGGAGCTGGTGATAATCGATAACAGCTTCCTTAGGGATCAACTAGTGATAATCGATAACAGCTTCCTTTGGGATCAACTAGTGATAATCCATAACAGCTTCCTTAGGGATCAACTAGTGATAATCCATAACAGGGCAACTGTTATCGATTGTCACAAGTTGATCACTAGGGAAACTGTTATCGATTGTCACAAGTTGATCACTAGGGAAACTGTTATCGATTGTCACAAGTTGATCCCTAAGGAAGCTGTTATGGATTATCACTAATTGATCCCTAAGGAAGTAGTGATCAACTTGTGACAATCGATAACAGTTGCCTTAGTGATCACTAGTGATAATCGATAACAGTTTCATTAACGATCAGTAGTGATAATCGATAAGTCTTCTTAGTGATCAACTAGTGATAATCCATAACAGTCTCCTTAATAATCACTAGTGACAATCGATAATAGTTGTCTTAGTGATCACTAGTGATAATCGATAAAAGTTGTCTTAGTAATCACTAGTGACAATCGATAATAGTTGTCTTAGTGGAAATCAATGAAAGGGTGACCGACTAAACTGAAGATGTAATGGTCGTGCGTGGTCATTAAAAGAAACAATAATGGTCATGTTATAAATACCAAAACCGCGAAAATTGTCTAGTTTATTTATGTCTTCGTTCAGCATTATATTTTTTGTGTGAAATGGCAACTGGTTAAAATTATAACAAAAATTTCTTTAGTAATTCAAGGATACACTCGGACACAGTTACCCGATCTCCGCAGGAGCGAGAGGTTTGGTGGATTTAGTAAGTGGCGTGAAAAGTTGGTGATTTGTTGCATGTGGACCGCGAGACAAGACACGGTATTGAAGTTTGAATTACACAATGTTTTATTTTCTGATGAAAAGTAAAGGTTGTCTGATCGCTAAGGTAGTTTACTGCTTCGTGATGAAGTTAAAAAAAAAGTTTAACAGGCTGTATTTAACTGACACGATAAAAGACCAAGACAAAATTCACAGACAGGTCTTGGTGTTTTCAGGACTGAAATCCGGTTCACCAAATCATTCTAACTTGAATACTAATAGGACGGTAAAGCTTGAATAACAATTGTTACTATGTGAATGAACTTAAGTATTGTCTATTCATTTAATACCAGCTGTATTTTCTGTACAAGTGTACGCTAACCTTCGAAATGACACGTTTTTATAGAATGTTAGTAGACTGACGTAAGAAAGATGCACGTGTTTTTGCATATCTGCATTTCACAGAAGTTTTTATATATTGAATAGTAATTGGACATGAACCTTTGATACGTCAGAATTACATATAGGGTAAGTGGAAAAATGTACAAAACAAACGATTCCGATACAGGTTATTTTATATCCATCCTGCATGTTTGTAAGGTTCAATTTTCCCACTTTGAATCTTCTGTATCCTCACTCTCTATGTACATATCCTGGCAGATGGAATATTTGGAATGCGACTGTATTTTGTTTACAGATCAGCTTTATAGGCACAGATGGCGCTCTCATGTCAATGACAGGTAAATGTTGCCATAGGGCGCCGAGTTTATCCTATTATTTACCAAAAATTTAAGAGAGTTCTTGTAATTTGTACTACTAAACGTTTTGAATGATTTTTTTCAACACTTCCAGAAGCCTTTTACGGATGGAATTTAAAAAGTACTCAAACTCGCTCCTTTAAAAAGACTGCCACTCTTAAAATCATGGTACACCAGTTATTGTTAGCTAGAGGCATGTTCCACTGGGGTCTTGATTTTGAATACGTGCTTTAAGAAATGATGTTAAATACGATAAAAAAGAATGGATAGTGGTTGCTTTGTTAGCAGATTAAACGTAGTATGATATAACGACAGGGTGGGACGGAGCTGTTCTTGGCCTATGGGGATAGCCATGTAAATACATATATATTTACATATACGGGGCGTAGGCAGCACTACAGTGTGTGTGTGTGTGGGGGTGGGGGGGGTCTTGCTTTAAAAAAATGATCATTTTCTTTTACACGATGACTTTAAGTGAGTTACATGAAAGTCAAGCGTTTATTTAAAAAAAGTTAGAAGATAGTGGACTTTTAGAATATTGGAGTGGTCGAATGACACCCCCTTTCTCCCGGATACGCCCCTGATATAATATGTGTAAACATGTGGGCAGTAGTAACGTAGGCAGTAGGTCTATATGTAAATAAAATTTTTGTACTATATGTACTTTATTTATTTCATATCCTAAAGATGAAACGTTTTAAGAGGCAAACAGTTAAAATGTATTTATTCCAACTAGAAGAGACCAGCAAAACATTTCCGGCCAAATTAGTATCTTTATCTTAACACAACTTCTTTAAATATAACATTTCTAGCACAATACAAACGAATTGTAATCGTTGACAACGAAATGTGTAAATCCACTTGTATATAGGCCGTACTTTATAAC